ACCTTCCCAAACCTTCCCAAACCTTCCCAAACCTTCCCAAACCTTCCCAAACCTTCCCTTCCCTCCCCTTCCCTTTCCCCTTCCCCTTCCTCTTCCCTTCCCTTCCCAAACCTTTCTTTTCCAAACCTTCCCAAACCTTCTCAAACCTTCCCAAACCTTCCCCTACCCTTTCTTCTCTCTCCTTTCTTCTTTCTTTCTCTTTTCCCTTTTCCCTCTTCCCTCTTCCCTCTTCCCTTTCATTTCCTTTAACAGCCCCTGAACATCCTCATGGTTTACCCCGAGAGGGAGGACCTGAAGATCTGTGACTTTGGGTTTGCTCAGAGGATCACCCCCTTCGACCCCCAGTACAGCAAATTCGGCTCCCCGGAGTTCGTTGCCCCAGAGATTGTCTCTCTCTTACCCGTGTCAAAGGCAACTGATATCTGGTAATATCTGCTCATCCCCCATCTTCCTAAAAAGCTTTTTCAGGCCCTTGATGGCCTGAATTTCCATTTACTGTTAATAAGTAAATGGAGCAGTGATAATTACACAGGAAGCTGGAAGTGAACCCTGAGAATCCGAAAGCCATCAGGGCTCTTCAAAGCTCCTTCTGTCTATTTTCTTTTTTTTTTTTTTTTTTTTTTTTTTTCCCAGCCATAATTGAACTCTGACAGCTCATTGATGCAAAGGAGCATCTTACAGGAGATGATCTCTGTTAGAGGCAGCAACAAGGGAGAATGATCCTAAAAGGCTTTCTAGAAAAGGCAAACAAACTCTAAAAAAAAATAAAAATTATTCTGAGCCTTTTCCTTTATCTGCGCTTCAAAATTGGAAGATGGCTTGAGAATAATTTTAAAAAATATTAAAGGGGAAAAAAAACTTAAAGGGGAAAATGGCTTTTGGGATTTATTTTCCCTGAAAAAGTGAGGAGAAGTGGGTGTCCAGTGTCAGGAAGAGGGGCTGTGTGCTTGAGAAAGACGGATGAATAGTGACAAAAACCTGACATTTGTGCTCCCTTTCTCCTCAGGGCTGTTGGAGTCATCACCTATTTAAGGTAAGTAAATCTTATTTTCAAGATTCATTTAATAATCCTTTGTCTATCAAAGCCCTCCAGTGTCTTCAAGTGGGAGATCTGAGTGAAGCATCGAGCCTTTCTATGCTAAGGACTATTTATTTTGTGTTTTCCTCCTTTCCTGGGTTCCCAGGGCTTCGGCTGTTGTCCCTGAGAGCTGCATTCCGGTGGGAACAGTGGATGAGGTTCAGCCTCCCCCTCTCCTGTTTTAGCCAGCACCCCACTACAGCTGTGCCTTCATTCCTTATATTACTATTGCCCCAAATAAACAGTGATTCAGCCAAGTGCCACCAAATTCTGGGGTGAAAGATGACCTGTTAGTGAACACCTTGCTCACAAGCAAGTCCCACCCGCGGAGTCCCTCAGATATTTTAAAACCCCCACGAGGGCACTTGTGCTTTCCTGTCACTTGAACAGCAAACAAAAGCCTGACATCTGTCTCCTTTTATTCTGTGGTGTCCAAAAAACAAGCCTCACGTGCAAATCTCCGTTTGCTGGGGAGAACGACAGGAAAACCCTCCTGAACATCCAGAGCGGGGAAATTTCGTGGACCATTCCCGACGTTGTTCACTTGAGCGAGGATGCAAAGGACTTCATGAAAGGGATCCTGCAGCAGAACCCCAAGTGAGTGTCCTCCTGTGCTTCCTCCCTTAGCTGAACCCCAAATAAGTGTCCTCCTGTGCTTCCTGGGCAAGGACTGGTGTAGAGTGAGTTATGAGAGAATTAAATAGCATGAACCATATTCATTAAGCAATTTGAGGTACAAAAGGAGGCTTGAAGGCACGTTTGCAGGCCCTTGCTTTTTAATTTCATTTCTATCCTTTCTGCCTCCTGCCAAAGCTATTTTCTCTCTGGTCACCTAGAGAGGCAAAGACCCTCTTGGGGCTGCTCTGGACACAGGCTCTTGCTGAGGATCTGTGGGGAGTCTGGGAGAGAAAAAGGAGGATTATTTCACCTCAAGGGAAGGAAACTTTGGGGCTGAAAGCTGCTGTCTGCCTTGTGGGCTTCTCAGCTCCAAATCAGCAGCCTGAGGACACACCCCATGGTGTGCACCGTGTGTCCATGTGTAGCAGCACCTTCAGGAGGATCTTGTGGTCCCTTTGGAAGTGACTTCCTACTAAAATGTCCATCTGTTCTCTTACCAGAGCCAGGCCTAGTGCTTTGGACTGTCTGTCCCACAAGTGGTTCATGGTAAGTGTGTCCTGGTCCTTTATTAGTCATCACAATAATGAGGTTGGCAGAGACCTTGGGAGGGGCAGCTGTTAAAGCTGATGGATATTTGCTGGTTTATTTTTTTTTTTTCCCATGGTCTCCTATTTTCTGTGCCACAGAGGAGCTCAGGAATGGCTCCCCAGGAAGAGGTTTACATGCCAGGATATCATTTCTTTCAAAGGATAAAGATTTAGGTTGGAAAAGCCCTCTAAGATCATGGAGTCCAACCATTGACCCAGCACTGCCAAGGCCACCACTAAACCATATCCCCAAGTGCCACATCTTTTAAATCCTTCCAGGGATGGTGACTCCACCATCCTGCCCTGGGCAGACTGTTCCAACCCCTGATAACCCTTTCCAGGAAGAAATCTTCCCTCATATCCAAACTTAACCTCCCCTGGTTCAACTTCAGGCTGTTTCCTCTTGTCCTCTTGCCCCTTTGCAGGGCGAAGTTCTGGTTTATATTCCAATGCCTTAAATCACTGAGGGGAAAGAGCTAAAAATAAACAATTAAAAAAAGGATTTAATGACAGGTATTGAACAAGGCTTACTTTTATCACTGATTTTTTCTCCAATTTAAATATGAAGGGATTGTAGCACTTGGTCCGTTGTGACTTTCCTAAATTAAATATTTCTGGAAGGAGGGAATCCGAGAGAGTTATTAGGAAATGAAGTCAGGGTTTTTTTTTTTAACCAATGATTTTCCTCTCATTCCACCTGGCAGCACAATGTCCCCCTCGAAGCAGCTCATTTCATTAACACCAAGCAGCTCAAATTCATTGTGGCTCGGAGCAAGTGGCAGGTGAGTTGCCCTTAATCTATATTTTTGTTACATAATCTATATAATAATCAATAATAATCTATATACTACATAATATTATATATATTATATAATATATAATATAGGTTATTTATAGTGTATAATATATAATATACAATTATATTGTATTGCATATTAGACTATTGACTCCATACTATATATTATATATAATAATCAATAATGTATAATATACAATAATCTATAATAATCTATATAATCTATATTTTTGGGGTTTTATATTTGTTTTGTATATTTGCTTTTGCCATCCTCCCACCACGTTCCCACCTCACTGTGCTGCATTTTGTTCGGCTTCCCAGCGGTCTCTGATGTGCTACAAATCCATCCTGGTAATGAGGTCCATCCCAGAAATCCTGGAAAGGACCCACGACAACAGCTCCCTGGCCATTTCCCGCCACCTCATCGAGGAAAGCACTTCATCCAGCACCAGTGGCTCCTCTTCAGACAACGAGAACTCGAGTTTCCCCAAGAAGAGGCACTTTGGCTCCACCCCCGAGCTGCACCTGCCCGTGTTTGATGCCCCAAGTTACCAGGAGCCTCCAAAACGTTCCGGTGAGCAGAAGCTCTCCAAGACACCAGTCCCCCCAGTAAAACCCATGAGGAGGAAATACGCTTCCATGAAAGCTGAGGTGGGGGATAAATCACCTACAGAAAGCAAAGAGCTCGTGGCTTTCCAGGAGAAAGAGGAGGGGCTCCATCCCAGTGCTGGAGATGAGAGAGCAGAGCCTTCATCCGTGAGGGCTTCCGGGGAAAGCACATCACATCCCGCTCAGAAAGAAAAACCAGCTGACAGCGAGAGAATTGAAAAGGCCGGGGATGGCACGGAAAAGCCATCTGCCTTTGTGCCCAGGCAGAGTGTCATCAAAAGCACTTTCTACAGCCAAGCAACAGAGCTCCCTGCAAGGCCGCCTTCCTCTCCGGGCAGGGAGTTCAGGAGGCACCTGGACAGAGCCAGGAGGACTTTCCGGAAAGCTGGATATTCCAAGGTGCCCCTCAGCGGTCTCCGTGAGCCCCTCCTGGAGCAGTTTGAGCTGGAAGAGGAGGAGGAGGAAGGAGATGATCGCAGGGAAGGCCTGCTGGGGTCCTTGACCAAATCGGCGTCGTTTGACACGGCCAGGAAACCACCACACCCTGCCATTGCTGGTGCCAGCAGGAGCCGCTCCCTGGACGACTACAGGCTGAGAGCCTCGAGGTCACTGAGGGAGCAGGATATCTTGGAAGAAGACTGTGATGTCCTGTCCCAGGAGAGCTGCCCCGAAGGCAGTGACCACTGTGACATTTCTGCAGGGCCCGGCAAGGGATGTTCTGCGGACACATCAAAGCAGGAGGACGTCAGGAGAGCCAGCAAGGATTGCTCAGGAGAGAAGCCCCCTCCTTCCACACACTGTGAGGGTGATGGGTGCCCAGCTGCTTTTATGCAACAGGCTGAGGGACTTGCAGTGTCACCTCACAGGAGTGAAAACAGGAAACCTTTACTGAAGAAGTCAAAAGCTACTGAGATTGAGGAGGATGATGAAGATTTGGAAGGCAGAAGCCCCATTCTGACTGCCCAGTGCTCAGATGTAACTGCGTCAGCAGCCCAAAAACATGAGAGCATGGAGGGTAAATCCTCCTCTGACAATGCTTTTCAGGAGGGCAAAGAGTCCATTGCAACCCTGACACAGTCAGAGGCCACCTCTGAGTCACCTCCCACGAGTAAGGGAGGAGTGTGTCTGCCCCAGGAATCTGCTCACAGCACTGACATCCACCCGGATCAAAAAGGTGGAACGTTGCTGATCAAAAGGACGGCCCCAGTTCCGCCTTGGAAGGACAAGAGGCAGAAACATTCAGATGAAAAGACCTCTGCTCACGGCGTTGCCGAGTCTGAACCCATGGAGCATGAAAGCTCTGCTGCTCCAGCAGAACAGACAGAAATTCGTTCACTCTCAGTAAGTAAAGACAGGGGTCAGGAAATTCCTGGGAAAAGTGTTCCATCAGCTCCTGTCTCGCTGGGCAAGCGGCCAGGTGCCCTCACAGCTGGTGAAGGGGCTGCTCAGAAGGCGAAGACCCGCAAAGAGGTGGGATCTGCCGTCCTGGAGGATGAAGGGCTGGGTGTGGCAGGAGTCACTCCACCATCAGCCCGTGCTGGTGAAAGCCAAGCTCACAGGAAGGCTCCTGTTCGTGGATTCACAGCAGCAGCCACCCTGAAAGGAGAGCACCTCGCTGTTCCCAAAGTCCCACCCCCACAATCAGCGCCGGCTCCCGATGGAGCACGGGCTGAGAGGGAAGGGCCAGCTCACAGCAAGGAGGGCTTTGCTGCTCTGAGGAGCAAAAGCTCTGCTGTCCCAGAGGCTGTTCCCAGCTTGGCCCACGAAGGATCCAAACCCCAGAAGATTCCTGAAGGCCATGCCGTTCCAGAAGGCAGGCACACAGCGGGAAGGGTGTCCTCCCAAAGCGTTGTTCTCCCTTCGGTCTCTGAGAGGGAAAAACAGGAACATCCACCCCTTCACAGCGAGGTGAGAGCTGCTGTGACAGCAAGTGGAAGCCCAGCAGCTGCACAGGCCTTGGCTGCTCCTTTCCCCAAGGCTGGACAGCGGGTGTTGGAGCAGCACAGGGCTGGCCATCCCAGTGCTGGGATTTCTGACGGTCTAGGGGGTGCATTAAGTGCTGCACAATCAGAAGTTGCTCCAGCTCCAGTCCGTGAAGCAGCATATGAGGAGCATCCAAAGGTTCCTGGTGAGGGTGGAGGCGTTGCCTTGGGAAGGGGAAGTTCTGAGGCTGGAAGAGCTGTCCCACCGTCGCTCCGCAGGGATGGCGGTCGGGAGCGGTCACATCACAGGTCTTCCTTCTACAGTGATGAGGAGTCTGCTGTGCTGGAGGGCTTGGTGGACGAGATGGTTTCCCTCTCCGAAGAGATGAATGTTTGGGCAGAGTCAGTTTCTGGAGAGAAGGAGAGCAGAAAGCACATCTCTCCTCCCACAGAGGGTAGCCAAGCACCCACGGACACCTCCTTCCCTTCCGTGAAACAGGGTGGAAGAGGAGAAGTCTCTGAGCAGGATGGCCTTGAAGAACCCTGCCTTGCCGTGAGGGAGGAGTCAGAGGTGCTGGAAGGGCAGGGAGCACAGACAGTTCCCCGTGAGTGTGAACACCTGGAGGACCTGGCGTTTGAGAGCCCCGCTTCCAGCCAAGCCAGCATTTCCTCAACAGAGAGCCTGGACACCGGGAAAAGGCCCAGTCGGGTGCCAGTGATGAAGGACAATGGGAAACACCCAGAAGTGTCTTTAGTGAAAATCAAAGACCTGTCAGACGAAGCCCCCAGCACTGGCAGCGGCCCTCAAAAATTTGACATCTCAGAGGTGGAACCTGCCTACTTGAACTTCTCTGACTTGTATGACATTGTCTATTTCCCGTTTGAATTCCTGTCCTACAAGAAGCCTTCGCCCAAGCCAGTCCGCAGACGGTTCATTCCCCTCGGTGAAAGGGCAAGGTCCCCTCCTGCAGGGCATCTGCACAAGGACAAAAGGCTGTGCATCAGGGAACAGGCAGAGGGCAAGAACAGGAAGAACCATTTGGAAATATCTGAGGATTCAAAGGCAGCTCACTTAGTAGCCATGGGGAAAGGGGCGGAGAGCCATAAAGAAATGTACAGCTCCCAAAAGGACTCCAGTGGGAAGCAGAAAAGCTCCTTCCACACCAAGGCAGGACTCTTTAAGCCATATGCCAGGTCTCATTCAGTGGAGCTGTCAGTGGAGCAGAGTCTGAAGAAGAAAGTAAAAGCTTCTGTTGCCCACATCTCAAGAATCCTAAAAGGAAAGACATCTCCTGAGCCAGAGGCAGAGGAAGGTAAGTATTTCACTCTTCTCCTGTATAGATTTTCTGCTATGACTGGGCTCTGATAAAGCTGCCTTTTCCTTTTTTCCCCAGCATGTCTGAGGCTGTGGTTAGACTGGGATTGTAAAACTGGCCATGGCAGGTTATGAAATCAGTAGTTTCCAGCTCCACCACTACCTCTCTGTTACTGGGTTCCTACAGTGCAGAGGCAGATGGGCCAGTGCACTGATGGAAGGGGCTCAAATTCCCCTGTCTGAGGTTGCACAAAAGCAGATCAGGGCTGGGTGATGCTTTCCTTGCTGCAGTTATCATCTGACCTTGGTAAATCTCAAAAAAAATAAAGTGACTGGGAGAAGCTGGTGAAGTCCCCCTGGCTACTGGACATCAGGACCTGTCCTTTCTTCTCTGCCATCCCCAAATATTCCCTGTTCTTCCAGGACATTATTGTGTTTGTAACAGCTGTCACAGCCTTCCCTGCTGACTGAAGGCTGGTTAATAAGGGAACCTGTGAGTGATGAGCTATTTCTGTGTGAATGGCAGAGCTGTCACTGTAAATTGCTGCCACGGGGAGAAGGGTGGCCTCGAATGACTCCTCATCCTTTCTCAAAACAGAGTTTGGTGAGCTGGGAAGTGAGGCAGCAGAAAGAGAGCTGTTAATAGGGGCTGAAGGATCTCTGAAGAGGAAATCAGCACTCTCCTCATTCAAGTTACCAAGCCTCATGCCAAAGGAGAAAGGTATTGCTGTGGCACAAGCCAGTGGTTTGTTCTAGCAATGAATCAATATCAGTAATGAAAATCCCAGTGCTGTGTGAGGCCAGTTTCTAAGGATGGATCTGCAACGAGTATCTGGAGATGACCTGGACCAACTCATGCAACATGAGCCAGTGTCCTGTGTTTACATCACAACTAAAACCTTGATAAAACCTGTCATGGCATTGTTTGCAAATTGGAGCCGTTCCAGGAAGCCACTGCAAAGGAATAATATCCAAGTGTAAGCCAGAAAGAGAACAAAAGGAGTATCCATGGGTGGGAAGGCAGAGGCAGGGAACTATGAATCCCTGTGATCCAGTCCTGAATGGATGTGTTAAGTCCAGACATGATGCTACAGAGCTACAAAATGAAAAATGACGGGGCAGCCCCAAACGGTGCATCAGCAAAGCTGAACTTGCTTTTTCCCCCACAAGTTTCCCCTTGACTCTGTCAGGAGCACTTCCCAAGGTCAGGTTAACGTCCCAGTACTCAGCAGAGCCCAGGCAAACACTGGGAAGGGCAGGTGTGGGAGGCTGGCAGCTCCTGGAAACTGTGGAGAAAAAAAAACCTTGGAGAAGCACAGAAGAAAACTCGAGGTCCCCCTTTGCCAGGGAGACAGGAGCAGATTGGATGCTCTGTGGGGTTTTTATGCTTTCATATCCAGCTTTCATCTCTTCTTATGTTGTCTTGATCATGGAATCATTTAGGCTGGCAAAGACCTCCAAGGTCATCGAGTCCAACCGTCCCCCAGCACTGCCAAGGCCACCAGTAAACCCCATCCCCAAGTGCCACATCTACACATCTTTTAAACCCCTCCATGGATGGTGACTCCACCACTGCCCTGGGCAGCCTTTTCCAATCCCTGACAACCCTTTCCATGAAGATAGTCTCCCTAAAATCCAATCTAAACCTCTTCTGCCGCAACTGGAGGCCTTTTTACTCTTGCCCTATTCGATCCCCTCCCCCTTGAAATACCATCATTTAGTTTTGCCCCCACATTTAGGCTCAGCCAGGAGAACACTCTTGCTGTGGCATGATCCCTCTCTGCTCTGAGCTGCTCTGCTGCCTCAGCTGTACCAGCATGGCTGGGCAGTGCAGGTATTCCCTGTGGACCTCCCAAGATCCATTTGGATGATCCTGTGTGAGCAGTCACACTGTGTCCCTGGGGCTCCTGCACCTGTGCCCAATGCCCGGGGGATTCTCCAACGAGTGGTCAAAAGGATGACGGAGCAAGAACTGGAGATGTTCTCGAACAATTAAAAATATTTTCTGCTGTCCTGCATGCATTTGTTTTCCACACAGCTCTCCTGGCTATTCTGAATTGATTTTTTTTCCCTTTTCCCTGCAGCCCCATCCTTCACTGAGGAGCTCATGGACCAGGCTGCTGCCGTGGGACAGTGCGTGACGCTGTCGTGCCGGACGGCAGCTCACCCCTCCCTGCACGTCAGCTGGTTCAGAGGTGACGCTGGCATCCCCCCAGGGAGCCCCTGACCTATGGGATGGGGATGCAGAGAGGGGTTTACACATCTTGGAATCAATTTTCAGGGTGCTTTATCTCTCCTACCTTCTGCTTTTCAGACGGGATCCCTGTCCAGGGCAGCAGCCGGATCCTCATCTCGTCCACCCTCAAACACTTCCAGCTCTTGACTATTCTCTCTGTTAATGCTGAGGATTTTGGTATTTACACCTGCGTGGCCACAAACTCCCTGGGCTCAGCGTCCACCTCTTGTGTCATAAGAAAAGCAGGTAAGAGAAGAAGCAACTACAGAAATGGGTGTTATGAATAATTCTGCCCCAAAATGTGACCCGTAAATACCTTTGAGGTGAGATTTCTGCAGGGAGGTGCAGAGGACAATCTCTCCCTTGCTGTAGTCCACAGCCTTTGCTGCCTGGTAGCGTGGCTCATATTGCAGGGTTCACTCCCTCTTCTTCACTCTTCTGGATTCAGAGCCCTCCAAGACAAAACTTTAATACTGACTTTAAATTAAGGTTGGGTTAAATTGCTGTTTCTCTAGGTGTGTGCTTATATATATAAATAAAATATATACATATATATATATATATAAATAATATCTGTAACTGAGACATGCTGGGTGTAGGGTTTTGATTCATGGCAGTGCTGCTCTTAACAGTCCCTGGGTTTTGTGCCTCCTCTCAACAGAAGTTCCTCCCAGCCCTCCACCCCCTGACATCGTGGAAGTCTACAAGGATGGAGTGCAGGTGGTCTGGAAACCTGTGGAGACCAACACCCCTGTCCAGTACGCCATCCAGTGCAAGAGTGAAGGTAAAGTGCTGTCCTTACACCTCCCAGGGAGCATCTCGCTTTCTGTGATCCCTTCACCAGCTGGATATTTTATTTTTATTCAGAAACAACAGGCTCTTGCCAGCTGCTTCTGCAGGTGCTTTTCTCTATTTCTAAGCTGTGTCTGCTCCTTCTTGTGCAAACACATCCCCCAATTCAGCCAGCACCCTGCAAAGTCATCAATACTTTGGGTTTGGGTGGTGAATTACTGCTTATTTCAAGGTTTGAGGCCTCTGCCAGGGTTTATTTGAATGAAAGGATGGGTTTAATCTCAGGCAATTGAAAGGAGTTCAGCCTTGAGCACAGCAGCGAAATATGAGACAGAGCATCGTGTGAGATGAAAGGTCATTAAATGTTTGCTGGTGATTTTCTCTTTCCCATAAATTATGAGTCCAGAACACACCTGCAGTTTCAGTTCCCCGAGAAATCATCTGAGTTTCATAAAAGCTGACTAAAACTGCCCACATTTCAAACAGTGGCTTTGCTTGGAAGGTGTTGGTGGATAGTTCTGTCCGGGAACCCTCGTGGCCTCAGCTGGGTTCAGGGAGAGGGCCAAAAGGAAAAACAAATCAGTGATTCAGCTGGGGGTTCTGTTTGAAGTTTCTTGATGCATATTTGCATTAGAGATCGGTGCAGGAATTAGATAAAGAGAAAGAACACAGGGAAGTTTCCTCATTCCTCTGACAGAATATTGCACAACTTGGACTCTTCAGATACAAAGCAGCGGATTTCAGAGAAGAGTAACACAGTGAGCGGCACCACGCACAAAAGTTGGCCATGACAAGTTGGTTTTTCTTTCATTCTACGAGATTCAGAGAATCACAGAAAGTTAAGGGATTGGAATGGGCCTTTTTTCTTCGTATTCCCAGCACATAAGTAAAGCTGGTGGAAAAATAACCCAAATAAAACCCAAAACCTCAAAAAAAAAAAAAAAAAATCCCACAACTCAGCATGGTCATAGTAATTGAGTCCTGGTGTGTTTTCTCTCTTTTTACCTTGGTCAAGATGGGGAGTGGACAACTCTTGCTTCTGACCTGGCTGACTGCTGCTACTATGCCAAAAATCTGCCCAAGGGGTTCATCTACCACTTCAGGATTGCCTGCACCAGCAAAGCAGGAATGGGGCCCTACAGTGACCCGTCTGCCAGCGTCAAAATCACTGGGAAGGATCCAATGGGTAAGATCAAATCCTGCATCAAAACCACTGCACCCTTATAGATGTGGGCCCAGAAGCCAAGAGCAGGTGAATCAAGGCAAATTCTACTTGGCTCAGGGTGGTTTAGGGCTTTTGTATATAAAATTACATTATTTTCTAGTTCTGGACACGGGGAAATCCGTATAAATATATCAGAAAACCCAGTTAAGATAATAACATTATGTAAATAGAAACAGTATGTAAATAGATATGAAATTTAATAATACAATAAAAAACTGGGAACTGTAGATTACCTGTTGAAGAAACGCTTAGTTTTGATTACAGATGATGAAGAAAGGGGTCTTGGACCACAAATGTGTGACTGGAGGCATTTATCTCTTGATATAGATCTGCCACTGGTGAAAACCCTGAACCATAAAAACCATGGACAAAATCCTAAATTCAGTAGTTAATGTCTCTATTCTGGTGTTTTCCTCTGGGAATTATTGTCCTTCTGTGGTGAATTTTCCAGCTGTATTTTGTCTCTGAAGTAAAGAAAGCCCAATTTACTGATTTTTTTTTCCACTTGTTTGACTGCACTGTACAACTCGCATGTTTTTAAAATTAAGAAATCCGTAACCCCACAGCAAACATATCCTTGTAGCAAAGCATCCTTTCTGCTAGGAAACAGAAGGATGGTCTAACTGGAATTTCCTCCCAGTGGAGAGGATTGCTGTGTGAAAATCAGTTTCACAGAGATATTTTTAACTCACCCTGAATCCTCTGCTTCCCCTTGGTCCAGGATCCATTAATGGATCTCAACGTGTCCAGCCTTTCCAAGCAGATGCTTTAAAGAGATGATTTATTATTTCAGGGAGCACTTGGACACAACCACACACCAGAACCAGAGCAACAACTAGTTTCTAATTCTTTGTCAGTGTCTTGCCACGACTCGGCGACTTGTTGATGTGAGGAGAAGTGAACCAGTGGCTCAGATGTTTGATATGTCGTAGCACACAATATACAATCCCCCTCATACTGCCTGGAGTGGCCACACCAGGGGATTTCTGGGTGGAAAGAGCAGAATCTGCTGCATTCCAACAGCACTGGGTGCCACAGCTGGGATTCAGGCTGCACAGTCACCTGGGGAAAGCTCTGCTGTTGCCTTGGCTGCTGTTCATGGGCAGTGGAGCTTCAGAAAGGCCCCATTTTCCACACAGGGCTGTTTTCCCATGTAATCCCTGTCCCTTTCTCTCTGCAGAGCTTCGTGCTGCAACGCAGGACATCCCATCATCACCTGCTGCTGAGGAGGAGAGTGAAATAATCACACCACCCGAGCCTTTCCCAACCTACCAGACCTATGCCTTCCAAACAGAGATCAAAAGGTAAGAGAATCCAGCTGAGCTCTCTGTGATCCAGAGGGAAATCCCACGTGTGATGGAGCACCTCTCCTAGGAGGAAAGGCTGAGGGAATTGGGATTGTTCAGCCTGGAAAAGAGGAGGCTTTGGGATGAGCTAATTGAGGCCTTCTAGGACCCAGAGGAGCTACAAGAAACATGGAGAGGGACTTTTTACAAGACCATGCAGTGATAGGACAAGGGGGAATGGCTTCAGATTGTAAAACAGCAGGGTTAGATCAGAGATTAGGGATAAATTATTTACTGTGAGGGTGGGGAGGCCCTGGCACAGGTTGCCCAGAGAAGCTGTGTCTGCCCCGTCCCTGGAAGTGTCCAAGGCCAGATTGGACGGGGCTTGAGCAACTTGGTCAAGGGGAATGTGTCCCTGCCCATGGCAGGGGGTAAAACTAGATGGTCTTTAAGGTCCCTTCCAACCCAAACCTTGCTAGGATTCTGTGTTTCTATGATTTTATGATTCTGTGTGGCTGGAGTTTAGAAAAGGGACGTGTATGAAGGTGCTGCTCACCGAGTGTCACGGTGGGTTGCTAAAAACTCCTCCACAGTGATACACGCACAGTGCTGGCTGAGTGACCTTCACCTTGTTTTGGTAGGGTTTAGTTGTGGATTTTTTGGCAGAGCAAAAGAGTCACAGAATCATAGAACGGTCTGGGCTGGAAGGGACCTTTGAAGGTCATCTAATCCAAACCCCTTGCAATGAGCAGGGACATTTTCAACCAGGTCAGCCCAATCTGACCATGACCATTTCCAGGGTTGAGGCATCTGGTACCTCTCTGGGCAACCAGAGCCAATGTTTTATACCCTCATTGTAAAAAAATTCATCCTTATATCCAGTCTAGATCAGCTCTCATAGTTTAAAACCATCAACCCTTGTCCTATCCCAGCTGGGCAGCGGGGCAGTCACTTGATATCTCCTGCAGTGAGCCCAGGGCTAACAGAGCTTCCTGTCCTTGCTGCTTCAGCCTTTGAGGTACCAGTTTCAGTCAGTGGAGTTGGGATTCAACTTTCTTTACCCAGAAGAGGGGCACTGACTCTCTTCTCCTCTCTCTCCAAAGGAGTTAAGCTCTCACTCCTGTAATTTAAAGTGACTGTAGAGTTTAGAGACAAAGGAGGAAGCGCAAACTGGGACGATGGATGCAATAACCCCCCATGGGGTGTGGATGAAAAACACAGCATGGGATTCTGGTGCTTTTGAAGAACAGAAGTTCCTGGCTCTTCCAGGAGCAGCAGAGGAGTTTCATGTCCCTTTGTGTTCCTTTGTACCAGGGGGAGATTCAGCATCGTCCGACAGTGCAGGGAGAAAGTGAGCGGCAAGACTTTGGCCGCAAAAATCATCCCTTACTGGCAAGAGGACAAGCAGACCGTGCTCGTGGAGTACCAGGTCCTGAGGAAGCTCCACCACACAAACATAGCCCAGCTGAAGGGAGCCTACGTCAGCCCACGGCACTTGGTGTTGATCCAGGAGATGTGTGTGGGACCAGAGCTGCTCCACTGCTTGGCACTACGGTAAGAACATGGGAGGGTTTTTCCCCTCGGGGCTGGAAAACCCCTGTTGCTTTCTGCTGGCAAACTGGAACATCCCTCTCCATCTATTCCAGCTTGTTGTCATTGCACGTGGGATTTGTGAAGCAGCTTCATGAGAGATTCAAAAATTACTTGAGTTGCCTATAAGGTTGGGACAATTCAGGGCCGCCCAGTTGAGACACTGAAAGCAGTTTACAGCCCTTGATATGAAATCCCATCTCCCACAACATGGAGGTTACTCAGAAAATCTCATTTCTCCTCCACGTTGTTTCTCTGAATGTCAGAAAATGGATCTGATGAAGGCCTGTGGTTAAAAGAGAGGCAGTGGTGGGCATCAGATCTGCATTTTGGTTTCTGCCCAACCCACTTTGACTTTCTCTGACATGCAGCTCCACAACCTCCTGAGCTTCTTGAGTCTGTAAATTTGACTCACAGGATGGGCTGGCCTCTCCATACACAACAGATCTGCTAAATGAAGAGTTGTTTCCTCTTGACTCTCATGGGATTAAACATCCAGGCATGTAGAAAGGCATTCTTGGGCCTGGAGATAGGGAACAGGAAACAGAGGTGTCCTTTCTCCCACCAGGACATCGTACTCCGAGGTGGAGGTCCGGGACTACCTGTGGCAGATCCTCAGTGCCACCGAGTACCTCCACGCCCACAACATCCTGCACCTGGACCTCAGGTCTGAGAACATGATCATCACCGAGCCCAACCTGCTGAAACTTGTGGATTTTGGGAACGCCCAGTTCTACGCACAAGACAAATTCATCACCAACGACAAGTGCACGGACTATGTCGAAACCATGGGTGAGTGCAGAGTTCAGTCCCAGCAGCCTCATCTGCCATCTGGGATGAAAAAGAGAGACCCAGAGGCCAAGGCAGCAGTTGGCCCCAACAAGTGAGGTCTCCCAGGTGGTGCTCTGCAGTTGTGGGGTGGGTTTGCCAGAGCAGCCACTGCGGGGCCAGGGGTTACAGCCCACACTGCTCCAGTTGGCATCCAGGTGTCCAGAGCTCAGGGATCAAGCACTGCTGCCACCTGGCCTGAGGTCCTCAAGGTTTCACAGCAATCAGCATCTACAAAGGGTGTCTTACCTCAACCAGCTCCCTGTCCTGGGAGCTGCTGCTTCCTCACTCTTAGCGAGGCAGCAAAAGTACCCCCTGCCTTTGTGATGCTCTCAGTGTGTTGGAGCAGAGCTGGGCTCACACCAGTTTGCTTTTCCAGCTCCAGAACTGCTGACAGAGCAAGGAGCCCTCCCACAGACTGATATTTGGTCCATCGGAATCACAGCCTTCATCATGTAAGTCAGTCTGTCCTTCCCTGCCCCGTGAACAGCCTGAAAACCACAATTTCAGAGTCACCAGTCAGGGGAGGTGCATGGAACTCAGAGAACTGACATCAGTTGTGCCAACTCTGCTTGGCAATGCCATGGAAGGCTGTGGGATGGAGGGGATGGAGCTGGCTGTGGGATGGAGGGGATGGAGCTGGCTGTGGGATGGAGGGGATGTGAGGATGCCCAGTCCCAGTGATGTCTCCCTGTAGGGGAAGGAGGCTGTTTTACAACACAGCAGCTGCTGGTGTTTTTCTCTTGTCTGAAAAGCCACAACTTCACCAAAAAAAATCCAAATGACACCAAGTAGAAAAGCAGCCAAAGGCATGAAACTCACTGAAGAACAGTGAGATTTTTATTTCCTTACATGATGTTTCTGTGCACTGTCATGACCCTCCTCTCACTACTGAGTGGGAGTTACTGGGAGAAGGAGCATCTCGAGCGATACCCTTATAAGAGTCATAGAATCCTAGAATGGTTTGGGTTAGACCTTAAAGATCATCCAGTTACAAATTCCCTGCCTTGGGCACTAGGCCAGGTTGCTCCAAGCCGAATCCAACCTGATCTTGAACACATCAGGGGTGGGGCAGCCACAGCTTCTCTGGGCAACCTGTGCTTCACCACCCTTATAGTAAAGAATTTCTTCATAATATCTAATCTAAAGCTCCTTTGTTTAAAGCTGTCCTCCCTTGTCCTGTCACTCTGGACCCTTGTCCCCAGTCCCTCTCCAGCTCTCCTGGAGCCCCTTTAGGCCCTGGAAGGAGCTCTCAGGTCTCCCTGGAGCCTTCTCTTCTCCAAGTGAACCCCCCCCGCTCTCCCAGCCTGGCTCCAGCCCTCAGACCATCTCCGTGGCTTCCTCTGGACTCGCTCTAACAAGTCCACACACCCTCCTTATGTTGGGAACTCCAGAGCTGGAGGCAGCTTCCCTCTGATCAGTTCTCTTCTTTTGGGGGCAGGTTGAGTGCCAACTACCCCGTCAGCTCCGACGTGCCCTGTGAGTTCCTGAGAACCACCAGGAAGGGCAAAGTGAAGCTCACGCGGTGCTACGCGGGCCTGTCGGGGGGGGCCGTGTCCTTCCTCCAGAGCACCCTGTGTGCAAACCCCTGGTAAGGTGGTGTCTGCTCTCCCAGCTGCTAGGCTGGGGCAGATCCTGGCTATTGGCCCTCCTTTCTACGTGCAAGGAGCTTCCTCACCCAGCAGGGCTCCCTGACTGACCCCCTCACCTCTCCTGTTCCAGGGGAAGGCCGTCAGCCTCTGAGTGCCTTCAGAGCCCGTGGCTCCAGGAGACAGGTTTGGACAGCAGGCAGCAAGCACTGGTTACCTTCCCCACCACCAGACTGAGGAATTTCCTCACGGAACGGGAGAAGAAGAGAGGCCTGCTGTGCTCCAAGTACGGCCTCATGGTTGCACAGTGACGTGGACGGGACAGGCAGGAATTGCCTCCCTGTCCCCTTCTGTTTGGTACCAAACCATCCTGGCACGCTGGTGTCCATCAGCTGAGCTGGGGTCACTGCTCCCTGTGTTTGTGCTGCTGTGTCCTGCCTGCCACAGGCTGTTCCTGCATATTCTGTGACTTGTTGGGCAGCTGGGCCAGCAGACAGGGAAGGCAGCAAATGCACCACTGACCATGGCCTTGTAACATGCAGGTGTTGTCCTTTGCCACTCTGAAGCCAGGCTGCTCTTCCCTTGGGGAGTGCACAGGCACCTCTGCCCGGAGACGTGGCAAAGGCTCTTGTGTTTTAATTCTTTAAAAAAAAAATCCTGACATTTCACGTTGTTTCTCCTTCCAACCCCGCTTTCCTCTGCAATGGGTGGTGTTGGCTGTGTCATGGCTTTGTACTCATAACCTCAGTGCTCCTTCGAGTTTCTCTGCAGTGATTGATGTTTCTGTTGGTGCCACCGACTTCCTTTGATTTTTCCACACAAGCAGCATTAGGTGGGGGGTTTCTCAGAGCTGTGCCTGTCTGTGTTTAGAGGAAGGAGCACAGGAAACCAATTCCTGATGCACTGCAGTTTCATTACTAGAGCTGAGGCTGTTTAACCAGGGATGGCCTTTCCCAAGGTGTTTAACCCCTATTATTGCAAACCTGAAGGATGCAGGTTGTGACTCCTCCCCTTGCCCAGCGTGACTGGAACACTTTCCCTGCGCTGTGGAGAGCAGGCACCAACTCAGTGGACTGTAAAGCTTGGAATGTTGAAGGAATATTGTCTTCATTAAGCTCCACAGGAGAGAAAAGCAGGGATTTAGGGACAGACTCCACACTCAGCTCTCTCAGGGGACAGGAGAGTTACTCAAGACAGACACTGCAATGAGAGCTGCCCCCTAGTAAACTTTTCAAATTTATTCCTGGATTCCTTCCAGTTTAACTTCTCTTACAAATCCAGTCAGGTTTGTGTTGGCACAGGCTGGTTTTTCACTCTTGCTGTTGCACTTTAGGATGGGAAGCTCAGTGCCGGGGGAGAACTCACCCAAACATAAAACTTAATTGCAGATTAACTCATTTGGAGCTTTCACACTCTTCCATATATGACTTTTACTTTTTTTTTTTTTTTTGGCTTCTCACAACTGCATGCATTTGGGCATGTCTGAAGTCTTTTATGGACTCAATACTGTTTGGTTAAATAAACCATTCTGACAAGCAAGTAGAGCCAGATTTTTCTGCTGAATGACTGTCATTATTTTTAAATCCCTTTCCCAAGCCCAGTTTTCCACCCTCACCCTGACCTGGGGTCCCTACAATGTACACTGTGTATCAGCAGGGAACAAACTCCCTGCAAACCATCCACACAGAAAAATCCTTTTCCCAGAGCCTTGGAGTGAGGACGTCACTTGGCCAGGATGCGATGATGGCTCTGAGCTCTCCAGCTATCCTAAGGCATTCCAGGCCATGGTTTGGAGCTTGAATTGACCAGAACTTGGGAAGAGCTCAAATTTAATTCTTGGTAGCAGAGCCAAGCAATGAGCCCAGGGGTGACAAAAAAAAAAAAAAAAAAAAAAAAAAAAAAAAAAAAAAAAAAAAAAAAAAAA